TTATCCTCCCGCCTTTGCCGTTCGATTTCATTTTCTTCTTTTTGTTGTAGTTTCAAGAGTCTATTATATTTAGTTATATGTAAAATCTGATCATCTCGCGGAACTCGAACCTGTGTCTCTCTTTTTGGGAGCACGTATTACCACTACACCACCGGGACTCCTGAGCTGCTTTCGTTCCCACGCTTCTATTCCACTCATTGTCAAGCAATGTAGCAGATATGTATAACTATATATCCGAGGATGTTGAGTGATTTGCAAAATCCTGAATCCACAGGCGAGAGTTGAATCCGCATATCATATCAAAGAAAGTGTTAGCAGAGCGATAGTCTCGGTGGTGTAGTGATAGCGCGTGTCCTTGGTATGGGTGAAACACGGATTCAATTCCCGTCTGAGATTCATAGTGTTGATCATGATCGCTTCCGCACCGCCATGAAAATTGGTGTTCATGCTTTTTGAACTTCACGATTTACTCATCCCGAAATGGTGTCACATTTGTCAAGTACTGCACGTATTTCATTGAAGAAAGCCGATCTATTGCCACTTGGATAGAGATTTCTTGGTATCAGATATGTCAGCAAAGATAGTACGTAGCTTTCTCAGTCGGATGTCCCAGACCATGAGGACCACCTGCCCTCATCACGATCACCACCCTAGCCCTATACGGGTGGCTCGACCTAACAGAAACGGAAGCGGTCCAGGTTTGTACACAGCTATTATTTCCTTCGTACTGAGAACACAATGTGAATAAGGCATTATTATAGCCGTCGATATACTCAGGCAAAAGGTGGATTTGTGATTTGTACTGAAAATGGCTGCAAAGCACTTTTGATCAACCATCCGGTTCCTTCGTATCGACTAGGCATAGGGTATATAATTTCTAGAGTCAAGAGTCCTGCCTCGAGATAGTCAGTAAATATGGGAATCTGAAAATCTCCCAGGATAGATCAGGTTTAGATCTACTCATAGTCAACTTCCGACGAGGAAATGCCAAAATTATGGATCAATGCCAGGGTCTTTGTGACTTATTTACATACTTAGATGGACTGATCTTAACATTTCGTGCGCACGTGAGCAGTCCTACTCGTTTCGTTGACTTGAAAATCATCAACCCTTGAGGTAGAAGGGTTTTAACAGATGTTGAAAGTATATTTTAGGCTTTTTATGGGATCTGTTATAGCACTTGCAAAGTGCTTGACACGTGTTTCGGCCTTTAGCCTCATCAATTGCATGGTCCCTCTCGCTTCATCAGGGACATACCTCCTTAAGAGAGGAATCGACGCCGAACTATTTACACTCAACGTAAGGTAAAAGGATCACCGTGGCGTTGTTTCAGAGTGATTGATTATAGATTGCTGTTTGCTTGGCTTACGGCTATCACGCCATTTTATATATATATATATATATATATATATATATATACTTTCAATCGACTATTTCAAGACCTCGCTTAAAATTTGAATAGATTTGGCTGCGATTTGGGGATATCTATAAGAGTTGCTCAGATTCCTAGTTCTTAAAAAAGGCTTTTCCGTAAAGACAGAAGGCCAAAGCGTTCGGCGTTGATCAATCGGTGAAGGATAGGTCATGCATTCAGCTCAATAAACATCGTTCTACCTGGTTGATGCTTAACTCGCCCATACAACAACTAGCGATGACCTACAGATCTATCATATAACTGCTGCTATCCTCGCAGACACGGACGCGTGTTGTGCAGTGGTTAAAAGTGTCTTGCGACACACATGATTGACGGTGCGATCCGTTGCTTGAGGCTCACCAACTTTCATCCCTTCGAGGTTCGCGAATCGGTAGCAGACTTGTCTGGAAAGATAGCAGCGCCTGGATACATTGGTAGGCCAGTGTAACCATTGTAAAAGCTGGATATGCACTCAACCATCTTCAGCGGTGCTTGGTGATCTTGAATACATGGCACGTCTCTCGAGGATTAATTAGCGCCGAGAGCTCTATTTTTCGTATCTTCTTAGCAAATTTGGTTTAGTCTGCTGACCCCGGAGAGACGGACGATTTGCTAAGGTATACGAACGGATTCGAACCAACAGAACGAATATTTCCGGGCAACTTTAACCATTGCGCTACACGTGCGCCCTTCCTTCTTCGTCTCCAAAAAAGCAATTGAAGTTGCGCAATCACAAATGTTAGATGGAGAGGCAGCTGCCATTTTTCATGATTTTTCCTGTCGTTTAGCGACCACAGATTACGCGTTCGAGATGATTTGTTCGACGATACGCTTCGGAAAAGGTGTGACTGCTGAGATCGGTTACGATATCAAGAATTTGGGATTAGCGCACACCCTTGTTGTAACCGATAAAAATGTCATTAACACTACAGCCTTCAAGTGAGTTCAAGGCAACTTAAAGATGAAAATAAGGAGGACCTGGTAATTTATCAGATTATTCAGAACTGTCACTGATTCGTTTCGATCTCTCGACATAAAATATACCGTGTTCGATGATGTGCTTATTGAACCAACGGATGAAAGTACGTTCGTGGTTTTTATCAAATGAAAGAAGCAGATTGAAAACTTTGATGGGTCTATACGACTTCCATCGCATTGCTAAACTCATGTAGTAATTATCTGTAGTTTCATTCAACAGCTTCGAGAACTTGTATCAACCCTCTGGGGACCAAAGTTGATCGCCACCCGAGCGCATTTTTCGTTATTTAATTAGAGGTCTTTTCGTGTGGGCGAAAACTTCTGAAGATTTGTGTTATTCTGATGCTCCTTGATTTTTTATGTGCCCACTCATGTTTTTGGTGCAAATAAAACTCAGATATCCATATATAAAACCCGGTTGTGAAACATAATCTTTTCCTTTCTCTAATAGCGCTCTTTGAAGACCTTTCTAAAAACCAAACACAGTCTCGTAATCATCGCCATTCAGGCTATCGAATAAATGCTAAAAGTTTAGTGAAAGCCAAGCACAGATGCAAGGTGTGAAAATAATGCGCGCCGAAGATTGAACATTTTTTGTTTACCTGCTGCAACACAACAAGAAGTTTTTCTCTCCAGAAAACAAACACAGTAGGAACCACCGTTCTTTTACGATAATTTTTGCTAAAAATCTCTTCAAAAGTTTTTGTTCGACGAAAAAGGCATTCAAAATTGGTGTGTTCAGAAGAACACACAAGGTCTCCAGGGCGTTGAAACAGGTGGAATTTGTGGAGAATGTATTGAATGTTATAGTTAGTCAAAAGTTGTGGGCTAAGACTTATCTGGTACGCCGCAATTTGAAGAGATCGGCAGTAATTTTCGCAAAAACTAAACACATTGAAGGTATGCAGAAAGCTGTCGATTTCTCTCGTGATCTCGGTTGTGATTCTTTTGTGGCTGTCGGTGGCGGTTCAGTCATTGACACGACCAAGGTAATAAGATTTTCTGAGTTATGATATCTCATACGTTCTTGACAAATACATTTGCAGACAAATCCAGAATTTTAGTTTTTTATGAAGAAAATAGAATTATAGAGTCAAGGGAAGGTAGAATGCTGGGGAAATTTGAGTGAACACAGGATTTCGTTGTTGACAAAGTCAGATAGCTCTGGTGGTTACAGGCCGCTGCACTCTACACTTCAAATCCCCAGGCCGATTTTTTTGACTTCGTGTGTCCACCATTTGGGAAAAACCTTGTTCCAGAGAATCCTATGCTTCCTCTTATAGCTGTCCCTACAACTGCTGGCACTGGTAGTGAAACAACAGGTGCGAATAAAACGGCAAAATTTGAGTTTGATAGTCCGTTATATCACTTTTCAGGCGCGGCGATTATGGATCTTCCAAGGTATGAGTGCAAATCAGGTATCAGACAGCGGTGCATCAAGCCACTGCTGGCAATAGTCGATCCAGAGAACATCAAAAGGTAAGGCGGCAACCCTTGTTGATCTGAAGATGATCTCTGATTTCCTTTTGATTCATTTAAATTCAGCATGCCCCGAAACGTAGCTATCTACTCGGGTTTCGACGTACTATGTCACGCTATCGAAAGCTATACTGCGTTGCCTTACAACCAGGTTTGGAACTCCATCTACCTATTCTTTTTCAGTCGGGATAAGTATCATCTCTAGCGCGTACCACGTCCTCTTCAACCACAACTACGACCACTGTACCAAGGTGCGAATCCCATCAGTGATGTTTGGAGCCTAGAAGCGCTCAGAGTGAGGTCTTATCGTTTCTTCTATTACTAAAATAATATAGTGTAATCTACACGAATTCTTTATTTTACAGCTTTTTGATAGCACTGTTGTGATGATGTACATAAGAAAAAGGTTGGATAGTATCTAAAACTCTGAAGCTTAGGCGAGGGTTTAGACCGTGTTTCCCCTATACGCCAACTACACCACGGCTTTTCTGCCACTCTTTGTTCTAGATGAGTCTTCGAAAATGTCAGCAATCAACTGTCAACGGGATCGGTTTGGTAAGCACATTTTGGCGGTGAACCCAATTAGGTAAAGACCAGAGCAGACTTTACGTTTTTCACCTGCTTTTACCCTTCAGGTACGGCAGCTGATCGATTGCACGGCGCAATAAACCGTAATCTTCTTTTCGCTCTTACAGCGTTCGATGATAACCTTTCAAAAAACCGAATACAGCATCGAAATTCTCGAAATTTGAGCTATCGAATGCGATAGTGTTGATCACTCACTCGTACTCTCTGGGTGGATATACGGATGATTGTTAGTTGAAGAGTTTGGAAGAGTTTGACGAACAGCCATTACAAGCCCCAGCTGAGCAAATAAAGCAAACTGAGTGTGAGACATAATTTTATCTTCACCGCTGCGACCTTAAAGAAACGCTCCTTCAAAATCAAACATGTTGTTGATATCGCACAGATCCCAGCTTTTGAGTGATTACCAAGTGTCTAAGAGAAACGTTTTGTCCACCGAGGAAGGTCTGCAAGCAATTGTGTACCTCATCTGGTACACGTCGCCCTTAGGGGTTTATGGACGTAATGATTTTCGTTCTCTGCTTCACCTTAGTGTCTTTCTTTTGTTTTGGGAGAGATTACAAGTTCTTTATGTCAAGTCCGTGGAACTACGACCGTCTGTTGCTCTCTCTACAGTGGCGGGGTTTGGCAGTGGTTCTTTGGGTTTCCGGTAATCTCAATTCCAGTTCTAGCGGAATCGGTGTGTTGATTGGTCTTCTTATTGTTTTCTCATCTGGTTATGCGAAATTTGTGTCTTACTGCTCCATCTGTGTAGGCTCTCAATTTAGTAATACTTCAATTTCCATACGTTCATGATGACATTGGATAATTAAAGCCTTATAACTGTAATTATAGCATAAATAACAATACAGGGGCATCAAAAATTGTACAAACAACATTAATGTACCCAATGACGTAAAGTGGTGTGCAAAAACCTTTGCGTCAGCTGGGATTCGAACCC